GTCCAGCAGGTCGAGGCTGCGGTGGCTGGAAGCGGCCACTGCACTCCAGTCTGGGTGATCGAGTGAGACTCCAACTCAAAAAAAAATTAAAAGCCGTGCGTGGTGGCTCACGCCTGTAATCCCTCCTGTTTGGAAGGTGGAGGCGAAAGGATTGCCTGAGCTCAGGGGTTTCAGACCAGCCTGAGCAGCATGGTGAGACCTTGTCTCTACAATAAATAAAAAAATTAGCTGGGGCGTGGTGGCGCACGCCTGCAGTTCCAGCTATTTGGAAGACTGAGGCAGAAGGCTCGCCTGAGCCCAGCTTGCGAGGCTGCGGCGGCCCTGAGCGTGCCACTGCATTCCAGCCTGGGCGAAAGAGTAAGACTCTGACTAAAAAAAAAAAAAAAAAAAATTGTTTAAAATAATATAGACGGGGTCTCACTTTGTTGCCCAGTCTGCTCTCGAGCTCCTTGGCTCAAGCAATCCTCTCGTCTTGGCCTCCCAAAGTGCTGGGATTAAAGGCGTGAGCCACGGATCCCTGCCTGGATTAATTTAACAACACCTAGAGTTTAGGCAGGTGAGCAGTCAGCAGCATACTTAGCACGTGACTTTCTATTAAAAAACAACAACAGAACAACGCTTTTTTGAAAAAAAAAAAAATTATCTCTTCACCAGCTCTCTGCGTCAAGCCTTCCCTCTCCCTCTCTCCGCAGACACTTCAGCCGGCGCTTCCCGCAGCCTTCCCAGGTCCTGCCTTCCCCGCCCAGCGCTGGGCGTGGCTTCGTGGCTCGCAGGTGAAGCCGCGGCGTGGGACTACAACTCCCAGCATGCTCCGCGACGGGCGGATCACGTGAGCGCCCGGAAACCCTGGCCGCGCCTCCTGGGTGAGGTGGCGCCGGGGGCGGCGAGCGGCGCGGTGGAGCGGACCCGACGCGCGGAGCGGCAGCCTGGAACGCGGCCACCACCGCGAGTCTAGGGTGCGCGAGAGACCCTTGCGGAGTCGGGGCCAGGTCCGAGGGCTTCCGGGGGACGGGGGCGCGACGCGGAGGGCGCGGTGGTGGCAGCTGGAGAGTGGGATGCCGGGGCAGGGTCGACCGGTCGCTCGCTCCCCTCCAGCCCTCCCCGGGCCTCGGTCCTCGGCGTGGCCGCCCTGCGCTGCGAGGTCTGGGAGCGGCCGGCGAGGACCGCGGGGGAGGCGATCGGGGGAGGGGCAGGGCCCGCTGGAGACCCCGCCGCCCACGCGGCGCGCTTTTGTGCCCCTCTCCCGCGCCTGAAACTGCTGGATATTGACTGCACCGCCGAAGGGCTTGTGGCGGAGGCCAGGTGAGGGGATGCTTTTCCCCGAGGGAGGGAACCCCTGTGGAAAGGATGTACAGAGGTCAGAGAGGGGGAGTGAACTTGGTGGAGTAATTGGTTTGGCTTTTTGGTGAAACAAAACCGTGATCTCAGGAGAGGAATCTGGGCACGTTACCTGTTCGTCTTTCCCTCGCTGTTATTCGCAGTGTGTTCTGTTTGTTTTGGGTTTTGACCGGGTTTATGGAACTGTGTCTGCGGTTTTTGGTGTTTTCCTGAAATGCGGGATTGTAGGCCATCTCTTGGTAACTTTCCCTGAAAAGTTTAAAGGGAGGAGGATTAGAATAGCTCCTGGGGTGAGCACAGTCTGACTCTTAATTGCTGCCTTCTTTGTCCACGTCCACTGCTTTCTTTTACCTTTACACAAATTTTTATAAAATCGTGCTTGTTGAAGGGAACACCTCGGCCTCCCAAAGTGCTGGGATTATAGGCATGAGCCACCTTGCCCGGCCAAATTCGTTCTTTTCTTTCTTTCTTTTTTTTTTGAGTCGGAGTCTCACTCTGTCACCCAGACTGGAGTGCAGTTGCTGCTCCCGGCCACCGCAGCCTCGACCTGCTGGGCTCCGGCGATTCTTCCGCCTCAGCCTTCTAAGTAGCTGGAGCTACAGGCGCGCGCTACCACACCCAGCTAATTTTTTTTTTATTTATTGTAGAGGTGAGGTCTCGTCAAGTTGCCCAGGCGGGTCTCGAACCCGCGGGCTCAGGCAATCCACTCACCTCAGCCTCCCAAAGCGCGGGATTACAGACTGAGCCACCGAGCCTGGCTTCGTTCTTTTCAACTTGTTGGATGTTTCCTGTACACTAGGCTGTATACTAGGTTGGATATTTCCTGTATACTACATTTCCTGTATACTAAGAGCTCCATATAATGATCTCATTTACTCTTTCCGTGAGAAAACTGAGGCCCAAAGAAGTTAAATAAGTTGAGGGTCTTGTATTCCAGCTAGAATTCTGATGCCTCTTTGAGGTCCACACCTGGCTGTTCCCTGAATTACACCATGCTTGTTTCTCTTTGATTTCCAGTCTCTGCATAGGAAAATGATCCCAAAACAATACCTGCATAAAAGTAAAGTCAGTGCAATATCTGGTTGCTCTCCTGGTGTCAGGATCAAGAGTGTTGTTCGTTGTTTAAGGTTCTGATTTGCTTCTTTTCATCAGTGATAACGACATGTCACTGCAGTGACATGATTATGAATCCTTTGTTTAGAAGAGGGAAAGTTTTTTTTTTGTTTGTTTTTGATTTTTGTAGAGACAGAGTCTTGGTATGTTGCCTGAACTGGTCTCCAACTCCTGGTCTCAAGCTATCCTTCCCCCCAGACTCCCAAATTGCTGGATTATTAGGTGTGAGCCACTGCACCAAGCCAGGAGAGATTGTTTTTTTTTTTTTTTGAGTGGGAGTCTCACTCTGTCTCCCAAGCTGGAGTGCAGTGGCACGCTCACAGCCACCACAGCCTCCACAGCCTCGACCTGCTAGGCTCAGGCGATCCTTCCGCCTCAGCATTCCAAGTAGCTGGAAGCACAGGCATGTGCCACCATGCCCGGCTAATTTTTTTTTTTTAATTGGAGTCTCACTCTGTCACCACAGCCTCGCCCTGCTGGCCTGCGGCGATCCTTCCTCCTCAGCCTTCCAAGTAGCCAGAACTACAGATGTACACTACTATGCCTGGCTAATTTTTGATTTATTGTAGAGGTGAGGTCTCACCAAGTTGCCCGGGTGAGTCTCGAGCCCGTGGGCTTAGGCATTCCACTCACCTTGGCCTCCCAAAGTGCTGGGATTACAGTCTGAGCCACCGAGCCCGGTGTTTTTTTATATATTGTAGAGATGAGGTCTCACCATGTTGCTCAGGCTGGTCTTGAATCCCTGAGCTCAGGCAGTCCTCTTGCCTCAGTCTCCCAAAGTGCTGGGATTATAGGTGTGAGCCACTGCCCTGCCAAAAGATTTTTATCTTGAAAAACTAGTTGTCTTTGGAACATGTTCAAAAATAGATAGGAAGAATGTGTTTTTGGGAATCCTGAAATAAGATGAGAGAATGTTACAGGTAAATGCTAGGTACTTTACTTGTGTGGTAATGAGACAGTTTCAGAAGAGAGAAAAATTACAGAACGACTTGAGTTTTGAATAAAAAGGGTTTATATGGTACAAGTGAAGGGCTTCAAATAAGATAATGTGGGATAAAAAAGATATTTGTGTAAGTGTTGAACATTGGGATGCTAAATTACAGTAGCCATAGTACTGTAAAAATGGTGAATGCAACTATTCATATACTTGCCCACCCACCTTTTTGTAGTTTGAATACACATAATCTTTTTACTTTGCAGATTGAAGCCTGGGGAGTGAGGTAACAGCCTATCAAATGCCCCTTTTGAGTGTGTAAGAGAAGCACACTTACAATGAGGTAGGTTTTTTCCCATCCTGGATGTATACCTCTAAGTTAACGGTGGGATAGTTCTAATTAACTCTGTTTTGCCTGGCTTGGGATATTTTCTTTCTTACCTTTTTCTTTCTTTTTTTTTTGAGACGGTCTTCTTGCTCTGTGGCCCAGACTGGGTTTGGCACAATCATAGCTCATGGCAACCTTGAACTTCTGGGCTCAAGCGATCCTCCTACTTCAACCTCCCAAGTAGTTGGAACTACAGGCACACACCATCATGCCTGGCTAATTTATTTTATTTTTATTTTATTTTTGAGTTGGAGTCTCACTCTGTAGCCCAGGCTGGAGTGCAGTGGCACACTCATGGCCACCCCAGCATCAACCTACTGAGCTCAGGCAATCCTTCCACCTCAGCCTTACTTGCTGGAACTACAGGCATGCGCTACCATGCCCATGCCTGGCTAATTAAAAAAAAAAATTTTTTTTATAGAGATGTCTCAGTATGCTGTTCAGGCTGGTCTTGAACCCCTGACTTCAAGTGATCTTCCCGCCTCAGCCTCCCAAAGTGCTGGGAGATGAGGTCTTGCCAAGTTGAGCCACTGCACCCTGCCTAGCTTGGGATATCGAGTCAGATCTGGGTTTGAGTGTGCATTCCAGGAGAGATGACTTTGTAACATTGCTCTTGTCATATGTAAAATGGGAGAACTAAATGTGACAAGTCCCTGTCATGGGACCTGGCACCTTGTAAGCATTCATTGTTCCACCATCAGTCAGTCAACACATTCATTCATTCAAAAAATCATTTTCAAACATTTTAAATACTTTGCTAAGTCTTGGGAGTATAGCTGTGGAGTTAGGACAGAGAGAGCCACTGCTTGTATGGAGTTTACAGGTAAACAATAAACATGTAAGCAATTAAATCAGATACTTATACTGGGAGAAGTACTCTGAAGAAAAGAGACAAAGATGAGAGGTAGTAGCTGAGGGAGGCTGTTTTAGATAGGGGAGTCAGGGCAGACCACTCCATGGGGTGCATTTGCAAAGAGCCAGCATTTCTGCTATGGAACTGCAGACACAAAGACTGGAAGCAAGAGAGGGCTGGTGGGCCAGGGGACAGGAGAGGAATTCGGTGTGGGGATGTAGGGGAATGGCGGAGAATTGGGAGGGAGATGGGTGGAGACTAGAAAGGCTGGCTCCTTACCTTGTGGCCTGGCAGAGGACTGGGGACCATCCAGCTGCCCTGTGGGGAACTGGTTAAGTAATGATTTGTTCGTGTCCTGGAAGGCTATGCACATGTTCAGAAAAAAGTGCAGCTGCCCTGGAGGTGCCAATGCAGATGGGTCTCCAATTTCTAAGTGAAGAAAAAAAGAGGCACTGTAAATAGTGTGTGTTGTGTGCTCATGTGTGTATATGTGTGAGTGTGCGGGGCTCTGTCTGCAATGTGTGCAGAGGTACAGATTGTGCAAGGATGTGGAAGAAACTGATAGGAGAACAGGAAACTGGTAGGGTGGACTGAGGACGGGAAAGGGAGTTGTATCTTTTGAATTTTTTACCTTACGTATGTGTTACTAATGGAAAAATCATGAAATGATTAAAACCCAACTACTCCAATTCAGTCATCAGCTTAGGCAGCCCGTCTTCATCTGTATCCTCCTTTCCCCAACCCAGCTGTCAGCCCCGCTGCTCCTGACCCCTTAGTGTACTACCTGCCTGCAGAGGACTGGGTTAGACAGGCTTTGTAGGCTGTGGTAAAGTCCATTTTCATCTGAGTCTTGGGAAGTCAGCAAAGGGTTTTATACAGAAGCAGTCCAGGTAGGCAGGTGGGAGGTGGTTTATCTTGGATTGGTGGCAGTGGGGAAGGAGAAATGGGATTTAGGATGTTTTGTAAGTGAAAACGGCTGGGCTTAGTAAGGGGTTGGAGGTAAAACTGAGAGAAAAGAAACGGTACCTCCTGGTTACCTTGGTTGGCTGGGAGGAATGGCAGTGCCTTTGTTGAGGTGGGAAGACTGGGGGAGGGAGAGATTCTGAGGGAGAAATGGAAGAGTTTGGATTGGGGTGGGGGTGGAGATGGCGTGGGGTGGAGCAAGTGGTCATTTGGAACTTAGAGGGTCTGAGTTAGAGCCATGCATCTGGGAGTCGTTGGCATGAAGTCATGGTTCTGGATGAAGGATGCTGGAAGTTTGAAAGAGACGTGTGAAGTAGTTGTTTAAGAGGTTGAGAAAGTAGAATGATTAGGGAAGTGTAGTAGGCTT